ACCATAAACACCATAGGCCCACAGAATTCAATAAGTCAAACCCGCAGGTTGTGTTAAGCGTGTTGTGTTCTGACCAACTTTTTGTGTTCTATAATGGTTTTAACCTACAAAAGAGAACTTTTAACAAGTAAACAAGAAAACAAGTTTCAACCGAAGAAAAAATACCAAATTACATTACTATTGAAATTGTAAAACCAAAATTTGGAACAAAAATAATTGAATATTAATTGCGGCGATAATATTCAAGGTATGATTTCTAAACTGTACGAAGTTCAAGTTTATTTATCGCTGTAATATTCCTAGAAGTAGATCACTTCCATCTGGATTCAGAATCAACAGAGGAAACTGTTGTATTAGAATGACTGATTTTACCGGAATATATTTTTTTATTTTGTTTATGTCTATCATTTCCTAGTAAACCCTTTGGTTTTATGATTTTCCTTTTACATTTCGAATTTCCTGAATTCTGGTGATTTTTTTTCAAATCTGGTGATTTTTGCTTCATTGATCTGGTGATTTAAATTTCTCATTGCTGGCAACACTCTCAGTGAGACGTGTCCTACTGATGTTGGAAATTCCTATAATGAGTTTTTTTTCCGCATACGCAATAGCTGGCCGAACGACGCGACGCCTGATCCAAACGCGTGCGGAAAATTCTCACTTTTCGCACTGTTAGGTGAACTACAAGTTCTTGAGACGGGAAAAATGTTCGACATTCTATTTCTGTTGCCAGGTTATTGAATGTCACTCTAGATAAAATCACTATTTCAACACGGTAGTACTTTTTTTCTCGAATATTTCGGTATGTACTGTTGATGGATTTTGTTGTGCCACTTTCAAAAATGAGCCATACGTTACGGTTACGTGAATTACTTAACAACCACTTAGTCGCAAAACAAGTAGAAAGAGTCATAACTTGGTATTTCAAATATTTTCTTCAACCGCCACATTTCGTTTCACTACTTTCGATAATAAAGAATGAATATAAGGATCCCAGCCAGCACAAAGAGGTCCTAAAGATATCTTGAAGAAATCCTTTTAGGAAATTGTGATGCCTTTTGTAACTTCTTTGAGAGATCGCCGAGAGTGCTATATCTATGCCAAATGTCCGCCACCTAGGCTGAGCTCAGCGAGGTCTTGAAGATATCGCACGCAGAAATTCTCATACAATGCCCTCAGGCGCGCACTTTGAGATATACGCTTCCATCGCCACTGGCGATAACTGAAAGTGCTCGCAATCATGAGCTGTTTGAGAAATTCGCATACATTGCTTTGTGACGAGGACATTGGGAGATTCGCATCAATTGCTTCTGTCGAGGTCTTCAAGTGCTCGCGACTACGAGCTGTTTGAGATTTTCGCACGCATCGCCTTGTGAAGAGAACTTTGGGAAATTCGCATCAATTACTAATAGCGAACTCTTCAAGTGCTCGCAACTATGAATTGTTCAAGAATCCGTGCACATCACCTTATAACGAGGCCTTTAAGAGCGATATTTGCATCAATCGCCACATGATCGCCACTAATATGGTAAGGTGTTCAATGTTTGAGAAGTCATTGGTTATCAGCAGTCTCCTGTCGGCGAAGTCTAACTAGCGCCAGCTATATTGTTTGGGGTGGAGTTAAATTTACTGGATATTTATTTCAGCGAAAAAGATTGAGTCACCAAACTTAGAGTTAGATCAACGTAATGAGCTTTAATTATATATTATTCTATAGCAAGACATTGATCAAGTAAACTTTATCACTTGAAAAAATCTCCGAGGAGTTGGCCGGGTATCCTTTAAAAAAAAAAGGTCGTCCGATATCTACCCACGAATTTGAGGTAGATATTTGATTCTCGATCCCACCTGAATTAGAACATTTTTGTCTTTTTCGTCAGAGCAGATAATTAATTATCATTAATTCACTGCAAAATTTGAAATAATCAGTAAGAAAATCTAGTATCTAGTATACAATTATTATTATCATAGATTAATGACCATCATTCCATGTTAATACTGGGTGTCCCAAGTTATCGTAAAGGTACCAGCAAAAACTTGCTTACTCGACAAGATGAACAAAAAATAGTAAAAATGCTTCAAATGACATCAGAGAACTTTCTTTATGACTCAAAAAAAAGTGTATAAGATTGGACAGCCACCTGGTAGCAACTCCCTAATTTTCATTCAATGGACTCCCTGTATATTGTCATTGAAAATTGCCAATCATCATCCTATTTCGGGAATGCACGATAGCACATCGGTACTTTGTATTTCGTTCATTAAAAACAACATTAACAATAAAAATTTTTGACCTCATTTACGTTAAATCGATTGAAAATTGCCTCCTCCCATGTTCGTAAAAATGTCCCACAATGAAATTAGATTAATTATTACACTAGGTAGGTACCGTCTGCAATGATTGATGTTCTGCAGTTCAAAATGGAATATCTGTCATTAATATTTTGAAACAAAAATGCATACTTCTTATTTGTGAACTTCTTGAACACATGGGTGAAAGCAATTTGTCATTTGAGTAACGTAAAAAAGTCACAAAATGTTCATGTTTTTTCTTTGTTATCAAGAACAAAACACAAAGTATGTGCTATATCGTTGTATTCCAAATAGATTGACACGCAATTTTCAGAGACAATATGCTACTAGATCAGTATCTACCATCCGGGGGCTGCCAAATATATCACATTCTTCATAAGCCATTAGGAAGGTTATTTAATGCCATTTAATGCAGTTTTTTAATGCTTTTGATATCTTGACAAATAGGCGAGATATTGCCTGTAAACGATAACTTGGGACACCCAGTATTTGAATTATAAAGGCTATTGAAAAAAACAACTCAATATTTTTGTAGGAATATTCATTAATTATTCAGGTTATGTTTGTGATTACTTTAGGAGCTCGCAATGGGAAATTCTCGATCTTGTTACGTCCAGGATATCCTTGGGTGCTCGCAGAAAGAAATGCCTATTCATTTCCTGTTGTAGATAACCTCAAGGATTCGCAATATTGAGGAATATATCAAATCTGAGGCGAGATCTCCGCGATTTCTTTTGGACGACACCAGAGAGTATTTCCCATGGTGACAGCCTATAGTGATCTTTGATACCTCGCAGAAGGATTTCGCATTTTGATCCTGAAGATAACTACTTAGAGATATCGCGGAGAGTACCGTGTTACCTGGGATGAGCCACCTTGGAGAATCAACCGGGATTTCGTGCCTGTACAGACAAAATGGTCTCTTTTTCCCCAGACGGAGAATTTGTTCAACTGGAAAATATGTTTCCGCGAAATACTGAAAATAAACGGGCTTCTTAATAATTGAATAATTTTCTATCAAGTTTGAGATATTCTGAAACTTTGCACAATGCAAAAAACAAAGAGAAAAACCTCAATAATTATCCATTATTAACAATTCACGAGTTTCAATCTTAATTTCGAAACGTACGTTCGGCTCTAACAGGAAGGACAAAATAAAGAATTAATTTCGATGAATTCACAGTGCCTATAAGTAGTATGAAGTTTAAGGATAACTTTAGCTGTCTGTGTGAAGTAATTCATCATTGTTCATATATTTGATGTAGATAAATAAAATTTTATCTGAGACTATCGAGTTGAATCATCCATTGCATACTCGATTTGTGAACAGTTGATTACAGTCATTATCATTGTGAATACTGTATATGCTGTCAGAATGACAGATTCTGTTCTACTATAGTACAATATATGACAAAATAATAGGTCTGCATGTAAAATAAACAAAAATTTATGAGGCTTTCCTCATCATTTTTTTGATAGTTTCAATCGCCCTTGTACAAGTAGGTACACATGAAAATGAAAATCTATTGTTTTCCATCCTCGACCAAGAAATATCGAGAAATAAATATTCACATTGATTTTGTGTAACGAAGGGATTTCGCGGGACCAGCCAATATTGCAATTTGAACATTTTCCCCATGTCGATTCGAAAGCGGTTCTGCAATATTGTATATTCGAAATCGTCGGCACATTGGCTGGATGATGTATCAACAATATCTGATACATCATATTCACCTAAGTATATTGATTGATATCGTTTATGTATGAGGTGTCAACAAATCTATTAGACAAGTCATAACTCCTAGATAATTAGGTATATCAACATGACTTTCAATATGAATATATGGTTTGTGAAGAGGAAAGATTGCTAATATTTTCTACTTCTGGTTTCACCGAGAATGGTTACAGCCAATATTGGTATAAAAATATTCTACCAATATTCCCAAGCATCATAGCATCATAATGATTTCCAATAATCCACCAATATTGCTCACTAATGTCGAATGTTACTATTCATTTCTTGCCAATATTGATTCCACATTTCGAGGACAATAGGACTCTTTGAATATTTCACCAATATTGATATAAAAATATACGACCAATTTTATCGAATCGACATTGCAACATGCTGATTTTCAATATTCCACCCACATTCTGAAACTAATATTGTACTAATATCACCAATATCACGTACACAATAATTCGCTGATATTTTTGTTATATTGCACCGATATTATCCAAATATAGTTGTGCTACTTGAATTATGATAATGACAATGATACATTTATTGTTCAGTCACATACACTTCTGTTCTACCACCTGATATTCGCATAAAAAATGAACAAAATCAGTTGGCAGGTATAGCAATCTATCATTGGTGAATAACATGTCAGAATTGGAGCAAGTAGCAGACAGTTTGTTGAAGTCAAACATTTCTTCTCCACGCACGTGCGTATTGGTGATTCGAATTCGGTACACACCAATCAGAAAACATATCATTGGTTGCATAGTAACAATATTTATCATGTCGACGTGATTACTTCTCATATCCTCGCATGACTATCTGCAATAAATATGGCTCATTTCGCATACCACCACCATGTACTAGAGCGATATAAATAGTTGACGGATCAATATATTCTGGAGTGAACTCAATACTATACTTATACTTGATGTATTTTTTCCAGAACCAAATTCGGATGGGTCAAACTACCAAAGCTGAAGGCAGGGTGACCTACATGATTTTCTTGATGATAGTCGCATTCTTGTTGGCTTGGTCACCATATGCTGTTTTTGCACTATTGGCGCAATTTGGCAACCCGAGCCTAATTTCTCCAGCTGCAGGGGTGATTCCTGCACTCTTAGCTAAAAGCAGCATATGCTACAATCCCATTATCTATGTGGCGCTCAATAGTCAAGTAAGAATGAATATAATGTTATAATAAGAATTTGATTTTCCATTCAGATGAAATGATGATTCTTTGTTCCTTATTTTCCATCAGTGGTACCTATCATATGAACATATTTTCAATAATTTTCCGATTGTTGGATTCCTGATTCGTGAAATATATACAATGAAATGGTGACAATCCCATCACATTGATTGAGATATTCTGTCTATGGCCATGTGCTCATTCAATCGTTTTAAACAATATTTTATTCAGTTTCACCTACGCTTCCAATCATCCCGATTGATTGTTCTCATTGTGATCATTTTTCGTTATTGGGATCCTTTTCAAAATTGTTACCTAAGGGTTTTCTGGGACGGAGATTATGATTTTCCCATCGAAATTGAAAAAATATAGATCGCGGCTTCAAAATGGCGGATGAGTTTTGTTATTATGGTCCAATTATATTCAAAATTGGTTTGTGGTTTGTTGTCAAATACAAGCTCTTATACAATTTCAATTATTCGTCTGTGGGGGTTCCTGTGTGCATGTGTGTTTGATGTGTGACTTCAATGAACATACTCATATCTATAGACCCAACGCCAAAGTGAGCATGTGCCGATTTCTGAAGTCAACTCAGCAAACATCAATACGTGGGCCAGCACTTTAAGAGCAATGTCACACCGGTGAACTATCATTGGCTCAATATTGGCATTTTTGAATAGTAAATTCATTGAGCCCAGTGATGTCTGACCGACCTATTTTCAGTATATTGCCAATGATGGAAATTGAGTGGTTTATTTTTACACCAAGATTTTAGAAGTTATGTATGGAAATATCATTTCACTAATGATAATGATAATTGTAACAATGATGAATCCTCCATATTCAGTTACAAAGGGATAGCAGAGAGGTCCTGAAGATATCTTGAAGATATCCTTCTAGGAGATTGTGATGCCTTTTGTCATTTCTTCAGGAAGTAGCCAAGAGCGCTATATCTCCTCCAAATGTCCGCCGGCTAGGATGAGCTCAGCGAGGTCAGAACTTTTCTTCTTTGGTATCTGGAATGAATTATTTGTGAATTTCAAATGAGGCAAGTCACCTATGAATCAAAACTGCAAATTATTTAGCCTGCTGCAACAATAGAGAGTTGAAGTAATCACAGTACATAGACCTCTAGGAAGACGTTTACGTACAGAAAATACCGTTAACGTAGTGTCTTCAAATTGTGTTGAAGTCGTCACTTTGGTCGTCACTGTCATCTCAACCTGACGATACATTTCGTTTTCGGTTCGTTTTGGTAATTTTTGTTTGTTCGTTCAGATCTGAATGTTCATTCCTGTTAAAATGAGAGGAATTTCATGATTTCGACTAATCAGTATATTTCGGGTGTATTTTGGTTAACGTACGTTGATATCCAGGGTATACGTGAAAGTACGTGAGATCGATACATTCCCAAACCTCATTGTCAGAATGGTCACAGTGAATCACGTGATCAATAAGTTTTCGACCATCTGAAGAGAACTCTGAGCTCACCTACTGTAAGTTATTTTCTTAGACTCATTCAAAGTAGAATTATGAAAATTCTTGGCTGATAAAAAGAACAAAGTGAGCATCATTTTGAGCTTCTGTCCCTCATCATTGTCACTCGACAAATTTCCTTAGAACGCTATCCAAGTGAAACCCGACCATGGATTTTTATCTATAGAGTGAGCAATCTCTACGAATCGATTCGATAATGTTTCTTATAATTTAGGTGACTTTCCAATAACATTTCTCAATATCACCATGCCACAATCATGTATGTATGTACAATTGACTTTGTGATATCTAGTTTTCACTTAAACATCTTACTTGACATGCGAATTGTCTAGCCATTTTTCCTAATCTCTATGCGATAGATATACACCGATATAGTTTCACAATGAAATATTTCTAAATATTAGTACAGGTATACCCTTTATCTGCAGATGTATGACAAATCTTGTATCTTTTGGGCAATAAAAATATATCTATCAAAAGACCGGCGCCCCCTCGAATAACTTCCTTGATTCACATAGTTAAAGAATGAAGAATATCAGTTGTACTGTTCCATCCAATCTCTTCAATGGTTAGAATTTCATTTATATATAGTGTCTCAAAAAAGCGCAGCAACTAGACAAATCATTTCCTTGAATATGACACACTGTGTATCATTGCAATAATTCATTCCACATTGAATTCAGACTATAATCGATCGATTAATTCATATCACAGAAGTTATATAATGCTTTTCGTAATATGAACACTTGTATATAAATGATTATTTCGACTATTTTTGCACTAGTTCAGTGAGAAAACCGTGACAATTGGAACATGATGTATTTCACTTCCTCATTTCAACCTTCTGAAATCTCTCTACATTTTTTCAATATGAAAAAAATTTGATTGGGGAGCGGCGCATTCCTGGTCCTCACTGTATATGTATCAAAGCCGGCACAAGTATTTCCAAGAATTTGAAATATATCGATGTGAACACTGAAGATCAGAGAAGCCCAGGGCCTGTGGCACGAATTTGCTTGATTTAATTGTAGCATATTATCTCGACTAAGTCAGAGATAATGATATTCAACATTGAATAAATAAGATGCAAAAAAATGAGTAATACATTGGTCTTCTTCCAATCTGCCCTGCACTGCGACATTCATGTCAAGGTTGAGTATACAGATATACCACACCTCTTTTAAATTCGGGGAGGACATATTTTTCGGCAAAAATGAACATAGGTCATATTGGCTCTTTGAGGATCTCAAACTGAATGAGCTTATCCTCATAAAGCATCTTAATGACTTCTACAGGCCTCGTTCAACTGCTATCAAGTTCATTATATAAGTTTTTGATAGGTTACTGGACGGGCCATGTTCAGTGGAAATGCTTTCACGCCGGCTTGTTCATAACTTTCGACAATCTGCAGAAGAGATTTCGAGTGTGTGATGACAGCGAATTAGTAGATACCAATATTTTGTCAAAATAAACCTCTGAATTTACTCCACCTCACTACCAACTCCTAGTCCAATATCGAAATGATTAGTTCCACTTGATGTTCTGGATAGAGCCTGCAGAGTTTGGAGGGGAGATATCAGCATTTTTTTCTTGATCCCTATCCCTACCCCAAGATAATTGTTTTTTATTGTTCCTCAACAAGCAACCACTTCTGATTGATTGATTTACTTTTCAGTTTCGTCAGGTCCTGAAACAAGTCATTGGAATCAGAGATCGAGAAGTTGTTAGTAACTGCGAAACATATGCTGTGGGTGTTTCGAGGATTGCATCAACGGCGAAATCCAACGAGACTGGAAATAGAATGCAGATGGAACAAGTAAGAGAGCAGAATTTTCAGTTCAACAGTGCACGAAATGGCTGCCAAATTGAGACTATTGTGATTGATGAGGAACACGAAGAAGATATGAGTCGACTGTGAACGACTTCTACACTACTAGAGATGTGATGATGTATTAGATGATCGAAAAATACTCTTGTCTAGTTTTATTTTGTGATAATTATGTGTATAACATTACAAGAATCGATCAAGAAAGACTCTCTGTGAAAAATAGAAATGCTCAATAGAATTATTTATTTAATAAAAGTGCAATATCACATGCACCAGATGGGTTTTGACTTTCTGTTATTGGTAGTAAAATTGTTTTTCTTTCTTTCGATTTTCGATAACTGTGGATGGATGTCAACTCCTAAAAATCCTCATCAACGTCTCGGACTGATTTCGCTCATAGCATTCATTGAACTTCAAATCATATTATAATCTCAATAATATCTGGGATTGTGTCTAGCTATTTTCTATCAATTCCGTCGTGGACAATAACTATAATAAAATTCAATATTTGATGATGAATAATTTTTTTTTATATCGCAGGTGAGGTTATCAGATACTCGATAATCTATTTATCTACCTCATAAAATTCATAAAAAATTGATAAATTTATACTGCTACTTGCATTAGTCGATACCGATGAAGCGTTGACATAGTTCCATTACAACGATTATTTCATTCATCTGAAAATTCACGCTTTTGATTGGTTGTAACAGCTGTATTGATAATCGAAAACACTATGTTATCGATTTTGTATTTCGGCACCTGATTGGCTACTTACTGTTTGAGTTTTTGTAGCATGACAGCAGGATATAAATGCTGTCATAATATATTCGTGTTCAGGGAATAAAAACACTACACTTCTATTCAAAACCCCATAGGCACTTTCACAATTTGAATTGGCCTCACAATTATTATAAGACAATTCCAAATAATTATTGATTGAGCATGATTCGCATGAAATAACCCAAAATAGGAATAATTTTTCAACCACGACTGACGTGACATCTCTACATCTCTCTCTTCTCACTCCCTATGATGTACGCTGCTTTATCCATTCAACGCTTCAATGTATTTTTAGTTGCATAACATCCCTAGTACCTTCGATCGCGAGTGAAGAGGAAGAGTGGATGCGGGATCACGATTGTGAAGGAATCAAAGAAAACAAAACTGTTTATATGTTGATAAATATCGTTACTAGGTGTGGTGTATAGCTTGAGAATGGACAGTGAAAATCGTTTCGGTAAATATAGTGTAGAAGAAATAAGAAATGAAATCAAAGACTTAACGCCTCAAAATACCGTGCGTTCCAAAAAGTATGTTTAGAAACAATTCACAGAATTTTGTGAACAGCGAAATCATCAGCTAAACGAAAATACATCTGATGAAAGACTTGCCAATATTCTCACAGAATGGGCATTTAATATGCGGAAAACCGATGGCAGTGAGTATAAGGACATGGTAGTGAAAACTATTTGGAATAATACAGCTAAATTACTCCAAGAAAAATGCTATCATGAATACAATCGAAAATTTGATCCATTCAAAGATACAACATTTGAAGTTGCTAGAAATGCCAAAAATACTAAAAGAAAACAACTACAAAATATTCCGGAAAAACGAAAAAAGTCATGTGTTTCATTTACATCGGAAGAATTGACACAAATTATCCAAAGTTGGGATGAAAATACTCCAAATGGATTACAAAGGAAACTGTATCATATTATAGCAGTGGAATTAGCTTGGCGGGGCGGTGAAGCATGCCGATGTTTGATTCATTATTTCAAGGAAGAAATAAATAACAAGGGAACACCAACTGGAAGACTGGAATATAACCCTATATTCGCGAAAACCGCACAAGGTGGATCAAAAAATATTGCAGAAAGTAAATGGCTTGTGTCAAATAAAGAAAATCAAGAAAATTGTCCAGTTCGTTTATTCAAGAAATTGATGTCAAAAAGGGGAGAGAACATTAAAACTGATCGACTATTTTTGACATTTAATGGTAATTGGAATAAAAATCATAAAAGTCCTTGGTTCAAAAATATGCCAATGGGTATAAATGAAATAAGTAAATGGACCAAATTGTCAGCTGAAAAGATTGGTTTAGATACAAAAAACGTGGAAATATCAAATCATTCAAACAGATCTACAGCTGTGAGTCAATTGGCAAGTTCTGGAATTGGGGAACAACAGATAATAAAAGTTACTGGGCACAGTAGTTCAATGTCATTGAAACCATATTTACAACTGAGCAAAGAACATCATGCTGATATAATATCAAACCTCAGAAAAGAAGATAATATGGATATATCCACGACGGTTGCATCTAGTAGCAGTAATGATGAATGTCACTATGTCAAAATAAATAATTGCAATAACTGTACATTCAATATGCGCTATGCGCTCGTGTGGTTTCCAAGCAACACAATTTGTTTCTCAAAATCGAAGGAATTTGTGTTTCGATAATCATCAATACACTTGTTGTATTACAAGCGAAAATCATATACTGATGCTCTTATCGATTCCATCCAGAGAATAGCCATTAGCCTGGAGGGTATGATGACACTCCCACTAACTTTTTGACCTCATTAGATCACCGTGGGAAAGTTGGCGACATTTCACTTTTTCATAGATACTTCCACGGGAAAAGATCCTCAGAAATCTCTGCTTCAATTCCAACACTAGCAATACGAGTCAGACGAATTCGACAGACCCACCCAGTACATTATTTCGTCGTTAATCTTGAAATATGTTGAACAACACTCTACCAAGACTTGTTCATCTAACGAACGGCGAAGCTTTGGATTTCTTCGCCAATGGAAGTATTCCTAAGAACTCCAAAAGTTCAAACTGAATCCAACACCTACCTCCTCTTCCTATCCTCTCTAGGTACGCACGATATTCCACCAACATCATAGAAATTTCCTTTCGTGTGCTCCAAGAGATGGATGAATAATGTAGGTCATGGGAGTCCCCGGCTGGGCCAAATACACTCAACCCAAAAACCAAAGAAACCAGGTATCTTGTGCCGATTTTTCTCTTGTAAATATACTCTATATCTCTCCAGTGAATAAAGTTTGTTCCCAAGTTAACCAAGAGTGGCCAAGAGCTATGATTTTGGGAAATTGGGAAGTACAATACAGGGTAGGTCGTCCAGAGAAGAAGCCGAAAGAACTCATGAGGTTATAGGGACTGCCCATAAGATTGCAAAATGCCATATACAAATGGCCAAAACCGCAACAGTATACTGACAAACAGGATAATTTGTATGTTCTGATGGAAATGCAATCTGCCATTTTGAATACAGGTATCAATTTGGTTTGGATTCGGTACACGAATTAGTCAGTTATGCATGCATGGTAATTCTTACAAGAATATAAAGAAGAGTCATTCCAATCCTAATAAGAATGTACTCTACATTTTTTCTCAGGTTACTTGAGTGATTTATAAAATACACTCACAGGCATAAAAAAACCGGCCACAAGAAATGTGAAGATCTGTACTAGCTGCATACACGTAACTGATCAAAAGAATGAATAGATTTTGTATTTCGTGTAAAAAATTTTATTTATCAAATCGCAAAGCGCTTTCGGCTGAAAAGCCATCATCAGTGCTATACCTGCAAGTGAGTAATATTCATGAAAATTTCCAAAAATAATAAAGAATAAAGGTTGAGGTTTCTCGTGCTGTTTCAGGACCTGAACTAAACAAAAATTTTGAGATGTATTCATGTAAAATTCTACAATAACCCATTAGGGAACTTCTTTGTTAAATGTATGTCTGTTCCTAATTCCGTTTGTACCGTAATGATGTCTTTGATCTCGAATTTTTGGACCTTTTTGTGAATACTTGACGAGTAAGTAATATACTCTTTTGGATTTGCTTTTTGGAAATTTTCGTTGATATAGTTTATAACATGAATAAGTTTCAATATGAATCGAAGAAGGATGAACTTGATAAGCCGTCTTGATTTATTATTTAGTGTGTCCATCATGTCGTAGATTTTTTTATCACTCAAAATTCTTTTATTTGTATTGCTATAGAGATTAATCAGCAAGCACCCATTATTCAATCATTATGCAATTCATTAATATTCAATTTTTTTTGTTGCTTTACCTCACTTGCTGTCTCAGTTGATTCACTAAAGTCATTTTGTTATTGGGGCATGTAGCCCACTTATGACAATAAAAGGCGTTTATTATTTTTGCTCCTATTATTATCATTGATATTATCATTATTATTATTATTAACAATACAATCAATATAATTATTGAGCCAAGTTCAACCACTCAATTTCGCTACAAGGCGTTAAGAAATAAAGGGTGTAATAGTAACTGTGGTGTTTTTCCTTTGTAAAGATCAAGTCATCAGCTTTTCACGAAAACAAGTATTGAGGCTAACATTTCAGAACATATGTATTTTCGATGTGATCAAAATTTCAGGATTCAAATTTTGTGCATGGTGACCGTTTTTTTGTTGCCGGTGAGTGTATTTCTTCACGAAGTAACCAAGGAGAATATCAACAATAATGTCTTGGTTTATTCGTGGATATTCATTATTTTTCCATTTCTGATGATATTCAGAAATCGAAATGATGATTCATTACAGAATAACTGAAATATTGCCAGTAGCTGACTTAACAAGTTCCTATGATATACATTGCATCCGTAGATTCACATTCTAAGCTCAGATTCTCGATGATTATTTTGCAGGTTGAGTCATTTTTACAGTAACTAATCATATTGGGGAAAAATTATATTCTGGCCTTGGTTTTGATTAGAAGGCTACCAGCTTGTTGGAGCCTTTCAATTCAATTCATGTAGAAAATATGACGTATTGAATAGTTTGTCAAAATCCACAAATCACTTTGTATGGCAGTAACAGAGCGGTTTTGAACATTTGTAAATGGCATTTTGCAATCATGTCGGCTGTTCCTATAACCTCATGGGAGACTGGTTCACACCCTGAATATTTCTGCTAGACTTTTTCCACCATGGCATAACCATGATTTCATATGCTGAGCCTATATTCGAACTGAAATATCAATCTCCATCAGCATTCTTACAGCAAAAGGTTCCATTTGTCCTGGA